AAAAAAAAAAAAAAAAAAAATTGATTTACTTACGGTGAAATAACATTGCTATTTGTTTAAAATTTCGTAAGATTAATAAAATTTTCACAGTGCTTTAGCCGTTAGTGCCCATTTTTATCATAAATTTTGTTTCACATGCATTAAGATCTGTAGCCTTATAATTTTAAAGAGCAACTAATTTTGTTAATTTCCAAGTGCAAAAGTGATGTTTTCTACCATTACAGATACAGTTGTATAAATTTTTAAATTTCATCACAGCTACTTTGAGTTCATAGTGAGTGATAAAATGCACCAATGTCTTCCAAATTCTATTTACACTGGGCATTGCATAAAATGTTTTCCAGTTACAATTAAAAGCTCAAGTGAGAAAAAACATTTCGCCATTCAAGAAAGATTATATTATTTGCACTTATATCCAAATGTGTTTTCAGTTATTATTATTTTTTTTTTTTGTGCGTGTGTGTGTGTGTGTGTGCTAGATCAACACCTTACTTGCATGTGGTGGACTTACGAAGAACTCGTTGTTCATTCAGGAGCATGCAGATATTACAGGTTCTCTCTTTCTCTCTCTCTCTCTCTCTCTCTCTCTCTCTCTCTCTCTATTTGTTTAATTATTTATTCATTTTATTTGTCTACTCAGCTTATTATAGTCTATTAATATATAATAAGGATTAACTTAAATCATTTTTAGTAACATTTTCCGCCATCAACATTAATTACTTACTATAGATAGAAATAATATAATACTATGTAAATAAAAAATAAATCATTAATTGCATAGTTTCCATATAATTCAGATTTCATTTTGTGTTTATTTTAGTCAATTATATGTTTCCTTTAATTAAGTTGATAGTTATTTTGTAGGTAAAGGTTATTTTGGAATCTTGATTTATGTAGCTAATTTCTTCTACATAATTATGTAGCTTATTTTGGAATCTTCATTTATTGAGGATTCTTTTTTATTTTAACCTAAATATAATTTAGTAATATAAAAAATATAATTAAGTAATAAAATAAATATTATAAGAAATATTATTTATCTTAACATATATATTAGAATATTTAATTTGGATTAGCATATATGCTATATACCCAAAATATATACAATTTATAGTAATATTCAAATTTATATGGCGCCTATTTTAGAATTCTCATTTATGGAAGATTCATTTTGATTCATCATATTTATTAGAATCAATGATTTAGGTTGCCATATATATACACAAAATATAATTTTATAGTAACATTCACATTAGTTTATTCATTGTAGAAAATTTTGAAAATAAACGATTTGTTATGATATTTATATATATATATATATATATATATATATATATATATATATATATATTCCCCTTTATGTGAGATATATACAAATACTCATTTTATGTTTTTTTTACTATTGTTTTTAAAACAAAGTTGTTGAAATTTTGTATAGGAAATCGATTTTCTATTGATTGTATTGATAAGAATATAAATCTGCTAGACAAAAACTATATCTATATATATAAATCTACTACATAAAAAATATTCCTACATATAGTATAATAGGGCAGTGGTCCAATAAAAAATTGTTCGATTTGAAAAAATTAACGTGAATTATTGTCTAATTACACATGTTATATAATATTTTAAGTGTTTCTAATATTTTAAATATACATGTTTAATGTTCTTTTATATAAAATATAAAACTATAAAAATAGTAAAATATTATTTAGCTAATTAAGTATAATCGATATTAAAATGATAAACTAACAACTCATTTGTCGAACTGTTAGGTAAATTATCATATTATAAGTAGATCATATATTATAAGTAGATCATTCTGATCTTAGAGTTTCATTTAAGTTCCAGCGGCATTTGTTCTTACTTATAGTTTTGTATGTCATTACAATAAATAAAAGTCAGCGTCAGATTTTATCGTATTTTGACTTTTTTCTTAAATAAATTAGTTTTTAGTCACGCCTATTATATGTTGTTGTTTCGCATGGAAGTAATAGAAATGACTCTAAATATTAGTTTTTGGGGACAACGAGTTGCCAAGTAGTCAAACTAATAATAGTGTACAATGAGGTTCTTAATAATATATTATTTTTTTTATGAATATTTTATGATTCACAATTTACCTAATGTAATATCACTATTTTATTTATTAATACACTTCAATTATAATATTCTCCAAAATAAATATAGTCCGTACATTGCACGGGTTACGTACTAGTTTTATATTAATATGAACAGGTTATCCGATAGTTCTTCCAAGGGAAAATGAATCGGTGCTCTTAGGGGCTGCTATTATTGGTTCTGTTGCTTCAAAGAAATATCCCACCGTGCGAGAGGCCATGAAAGCACTGAACGCATCTGGGCAGGTAGTAAGCAAAACTTATTGATGCGTTCTTAATTTGAATTCAAAGTAGAGACAATAGAATTAACACTGTAGAAAGCAAAAGGCACTGATAACACTGACTTATAGTTTATTAATTTAGTTTCAGTTGTCTTTGTATATAATTTTTTTTTTTCCTTTTTTTTTATTGGTTTTGCGGCTTGATAGGTCGTGTACCCCTCGAAAGACCCAAAAGTGAGGAAATATCACGATGCTAAATATCAGATATTTCGTGATCTTTACAAGCAGCAGTTATCTCACCGCTCAATGATGAAGGCTGCTCTTTCGTAGGTTTTGGGTTTGCTCTCTGCCGAAAACTGACAAAAGAAAATGATGTAAAGAATTTCAAACTTGATTTCTCATCTTTGGTTTTTCTAGTTTTATTTGTATATGTGAACTTGTAAAAAATTTGTACTTTACTATTCAACCTTTATATGCATAACTTATAAAGTTCCTCTGAGTGGTTCTATCTTGAATCTTGATGCTTGCAGTTTTCATTTTCCAGTAAAATGTATTTGGGTATGTTCTTTAGTTTTTCGTTTTGGGGTCATCTATGCTTATAAATATTGAAGGTCTTTGTGATTTTGCACGTCCGGTGTGTTATAAATAGTCCCATCTCTCCTAATAGGTATTGTCAAGGCTTCGAGTTTTGATTTATATCTGGAATTATCGGACCAAACGCACGTCTGCCAGGTTAGAAATGATCTAACTTATTAATTGCTCAGTGTTTTTGTATGCGAACAATGTGGGAGCTTCTCATCACAAGCATAGCCTCTTATCACGAGAATCGTGATGATAACACATTATCAGTTTGGGTTTGTTTTTTGGAATTTGCAGCCTAAAAATGTGCCCATTATGGGTGTAAAGAGGCGAGCAGAGGTTGAGTTCGTGCTGTTTGAGCTCAAGTTCGGCTCGTTTATCAATTTAACGAGTCGAACTATATAGAAATTACGTAAAAATCATCTTATCGAGCCAAGCTTGAGTTCATGCTGCTTGAGCTCAAGTCACTCGTTTATATATTTAACGAGCTCAACTATAGAAATTACGTAAAAATCATCTTATCGAGCCTTATCGAGCCGAGCTCGAGTTCATGCTGCTTGAGCTCAAGTTCGGCTCATTTATCATTAACGAGCCGAACTATAGAAATTACGTAAAAAAATATCTTATCGAGTCTTATCGAGTTGAGCTCTAACTTTAAATGAGCTTGAGCTTCTTAACGACCCAAGTCGAGCTGAGCTCACAAGTGACTCATTTAATATAACATCTCTAATGTCTATTAGGTTAATGATGAGGCTAACTTGTAACTCATTCTCAAACGATGTGATAACTTTTGGTTGAGTCCATTTAGAGCGGCAAGTACGGCTCTACGTGTAAGGGCAGAGTTTTTTACCGTTGAATCACACAACCACACATATTTATACAGGTGTGTGTTGATCCAACGGTAAACAAAGCTAAATGTAAGGTAGAATTGAAGTTAAAAATTGAGTTTATCATTTGGGTCATATTTGTTCTATAGCTTTTTGGCATTGCCAATTATTGAAGTGATGCAAGTAAAATGGTCTTAACAACTTGAGTACCAACTTTTGGAAGGTCAAGTTTAGTGACATCATTACCAAAATCCTATTACAATCTAAAACTCTACTAAAATCTCTTACACAACAGAATAATTTTTGAAAGTCAACCTCTGAGGTTAGACACTGACTTCTCATCCACAACTCTAAATACAAGTTAATTTCAAAATTGGGAATGCCAATAAAATTGGTATAGAAAATATTTTAGGGGTCACTAATTAAATTTTATAGACTTTATGTTGATATAATCCTAAAATAACGTACATCTTTCGTACAATGGACCAAATATGAACTTAACAAAATCGAATAGACATTTCATATTCGTTTTTCTGTGTTCGATATCTGATTAAAATCGATATATATAGCTGATTGAGTAATATGAAATTATGAACTTTGCAGTGAGAATATGCCACAGGATTTGTTAAAAACAGGGGTTGACAATTGATGTGAAGATAAATTTGGTAGTTTTTAAGGGATTAGGCATATATGTTTGAGATCAGCAAGTGTGTCATTTTGTAGTTATTTTACAAAACTGCACCTTTAGATAATAACACTTTCACTTTATAATGCAAACTCTCTTCATTTAAATGCACATAAAAAGTCAATTAGGGTATAGTTTAAGAAATATAGATTAAAATTTGTCAAACAATAATTTATGTGTTTTTTTTTTGGGGAGATTTCACCTGACACATTTAGTTATTGACTTATAAGAATGTTTGTTTATTATTGCTCAAGATTTCATGAGCAGGTGAGTAGTTAAATATCAAAAAAAAAAANAAAAAAAAATATATATATATATATATATATATATATATATATCAAAAGAGGCCAAACAAGAGATCAGAATTCTCATGCAAGATTATCCTAATTAAGATTAATTTATGGTAAATTCATAAAATTCAAGAATTTTTCAATTTAAATATGTGCATGACTTACAGAATTACTTGTCAAAATGTCCTAATATTGGAAAAAAAAGTTTTTTCGTCCTTTATCTGCAGGCCATTTTCGTTTTGGTCCCGTAAATGGACTGTTTTTGGAAATAGTCCCATAAGTGAAAAAAATTAGTTTTTTGGTCCTCTGACCGTCTACAGCAGGTCAGATTTACCGGCTGCCTGCGTGGAAATTCGCTCATTTTTTTTTTTTTTTT